TAAGACACAAATCATCTACGCAAGAAATCCGGTCGTCCAGCGTATCCTTGTCTTCTCACTCCCAACACACGGTCTGATGCATAATCCAGTCCACCACAATTAGAAATGTCATCGGTGATAACAGGCAGTCATCTTGTATTACTCTTGAGTTTTCTGTTGTGGATCACCTGACAGGTGGCGTTGTCATATATCCAGCTGTTGAATGAGATGATAAAGACTTGAGCGCTGCATGCTTCAGTTTTGAAGTGGTTTACAGAATACTTCTCGGTCAATGCTGTCTGTCGAAGGCCTTTTCGAAGCGGTAGAACTATTAAGTTGCCTAGTCAAATCCACTAATCAAAAGTACTTATGAAAACTAATACCAAGACAGAATCGAATTCGGTATAGTGGAAATCAAGAGGTTAACTGAAAAAATTCATTTCATCATAGTAAGTCCATAAAGGAAGGGACAAATAGCGCGGATCCTTCAACAGTAAATTTAGAAATTATCTTGCGTTACATAAACAGTGTCAAGTGTAAATGGCATATTCCTAGTAACTTCCAGGCGTATTTATGAGTGAATATAAGGTCAAGTACTCTCCAAGTTGCCTAACTATGATTTTTGGTGTTTATAACAGTCTGTGTTGTTAGGATATTAGAGGAGTGGGCTGGAGAAATAAGCAGACAAACGCTCATTTTCATCAAATCAGACTCAACCATAAAGTATGATGGAGAGATGTACACATCCAGTGATTACATCGATCGTCAGTATTGAATTTATACGTGTGATAAATTTATAGTTACATGGTAATTTATTTATTTTTATGAATTAGAATACGGATAAGTTAGACACTGTTAATTAAAGGAAAAACGGCAAATTATGGGGAAATAAGACAGGTAGTTATTTCCCTTAAAGCCTATATTTTAGTTGTAGATATGAAGAGTACATGGTTTGTTTGCAAACCAAACAACTCAGATCTGTGAAACGCAAACTACAAAATAATGATAAGTGATTATTGTTGGAGAGTTTTCCTATCTAATGTCTACTTCTCCCATCTCCTAATTACACCTTATTGGATCAGTTTGTATGCAAACCGTCTTACTTCATTGGCGATCTGACTTTGCAAATAGATCTGTAAACATCAACTGTTGTACTAATACAACCTTTGATTGTGAAAGTTCTCTTTTTAGTAATCCAAAAGCGTCTTAAACATGACCCATCGAAGGACATGTGATGACATCATTACCTTGCCGACTGATTCTCGTTGTAACTGATTGTAACTGTAAATGGTGTGACTGGTTATTCTTTTGAATGATTTCTTGAGAATTGGCTCAGTCTACTCTTTAGGTGACGGGGTTCTAAGTGTCCAACCCGATGATTAGAATACAGGCGATGTAAGAAAGAGTAGACACAATGATACCATGTTTCAGGTGCATAAAATCTGGAACTGATACAACATGAATTTCGATATAATGCAGGATATAATACTTTCTGGTATACTGAACCCTTAAAATGTTTAGTAAACAGGTAAACAGGTGTATAGTAAGAAGTAATGTGGGGTAAGACCATGGAATTGGTTTTGGTTTTTTCAAAAAACTCTTATCTAAAGTGTGTTAAAACCGTATGGAGTTCCAAAAATGCTACTGAATTGTGAAAACGTATTATTTTGTCCTTGGAAAAGAAATTTTCATACTAGCTCTTGTTACTTGTGGCGACAGTATATGGCACACTTTACGATTCAGTGATATATTTTCAGGCCGAATGGATAGCTTTGCCTCATCCGTTTCATAAGGCCATTGAAAGTCGAAGTTTATTCGAGGTAATGCAGTGCTAAACTGTATTAAAAGAAAAGTTACGTATTCGTGCATCAGTTGTACAGAGGTAGAACACCCGCCAAACATGCGTGTAGTTCGGCGTTCGATCCTCGGCTGAGGCACTCGCAAACCTCACTAAGCCCATAGTAAGCCCGGTAAAGAGTGAAGGTTGGGCGCGGCGCTAGCAACGCCACTCCTTAGAAGTAAAACCACTGCTACCGAAACTTCACAGCTCTAGCTTGAAACCCAATGTTCCACTCGGAAAGCAAAGGAATGAAATAATAATACCTGTTCATCAGAATTTGAGGAAATTTCAGTCAGTGTCGTCGTTATCTAGCATAGTAATTACAATTCAAGAATGAATCAAGTAACCAAGTGAAGTATTAAGTTTCTGGTTTTCCTCCTATAAATATCTGCAAATCTCATAACTAAAGTGCATGATTCCTATTTAGCCCACCCGAGAAATTTGTACACAATCAAATGTAGCTTATTCACTTGGATTAAAATTTCACTACGTAGCACCGATTGCATACAGCTTAATTTACTGGACACTTTTTTAAAGCATATAACTTCTCAGTTTACATAGAAACTGAATTTGAGGAGATGTAGAAGTTTGTTACAATACATGTTTTTTTTACAACAGTAATAATGTTCAAGTATTGGTTTTGTAGGGATTTTTGTTTGATTGGCTGGAGGATTTCATCATGAGCTGACATCACTTACAGAACCACTGGGAAACCTAGGAGTGCTGGACAGCCGTTTCGTCCTAGTTTGGGACTCTTCATCAGTACGCACCCACTGGGGTCCGAACCCAGGACCTTCTGGTTACAAGGTGAGCTAGCTCATAGACCATTGTAACAACAGAAGACAAGGGCCAGGCAACAGAACGTTTATTACGGAAAATCAACACGTATTTATAGATTTTGATGTACATTATTGTAGGTTAATGTTAGTAGAAAATACAGTCTGTTGATTGGTTGTTTTTCACACAAAGTTAACCTTGCATCTCTTGTGGCTGTATCAGTTCATCTAGATGTTAACTGTATCCGCCTGTCCATTTTGACCTTGACCTCAATTACTGTCAACCAATTTGGCTAGCAACCATCTCTCACCACAACATGACTAATATTTGATACATAAACATTGACCTCAATTACTGTCAACCAATTGGCTAGTAGACAGCTCTCACCACACCATTAAGCCATTGGGACGAGATCCAGTGGTCAGCCCATGAATTCTAACTTTTGCCAATTCACGACATAGCGCGACCACTTCTCACTGTCTTATTGGGTGAGTAACTGTCTTTACCTTCAGCCTGCTGCACCCTACTGGTCATGACTTCCCAGCAGAATCCCAGGTCACTGCTTGAATAGGTCCAGTCGCCAGTGAGCATCAGGTCAATTTTCTAGTATTGGTTTTTAAGGGATTTTTTGTTAGATTGGTTGGAGGATAATGACTGAAATGAGTGACATTCAGATGAACAATACGATTTTGAAGATGTGAAAGTGTTAAAAACATTTTGGCTTGATCTAGCAGATGGAAATTTCTTTGGCAAAATGCGGTTTTACTTGCCATTACCTAACGTCTATCTTACCAACAGTTTTTTTTGACAGAGATCTCGCGTACTTAACCTTAAGCCATTCTGTCATGTAGGATGACGAATTCAGACGTCAGATGTAAAGTTTACGCGCAGGATTATTATCAGCCATTAAAGAACTGTGAATAAATGAGATCATCTTTTCTGATACAAACCATTTTATCTTTTACTAGATTTAGAAGTGGCCGGCGACTGGACTCCAGCCTGATGGCCAACCTTGCATACAGACGATGTTGAGTTCAACCCCTGATGAGGTTGTTGGTGTGCAATGCAAAACAGTTTCAAACGAGGAAAAAACAGTTACCTAGTGCTCTGTAGTTTCCAGTGATTGTCTGACTCAGGTCGGTCGGTTCGTGATATCTTCTACACTGAAAATAACATTGTTTTTCACTGGATAATTTTTATATTTTCATAAAGGCCAAATTTCACTATAGTTTAGAGAAAAGTGCATCCAAACTTCATTGTATTATAACAATGTTTGACAGCTTAATATATTCGATTTCAGTGTCAGAAGTGAATTTCAAATCTTCACATTTCATTTTTGGCCAAGAAGACTAGATGTTGTTTTTCATTAATTATTTTAGTACATATCAATCAAAATTTCAATTCATAAAATTTATGAACTTGTTTCACGGTTGATTTGTTTATTTCTTCAGAAAATGGCAAAACATTACAAAGTACTTTTATGTTGTGTAATGAGTGGGCTAACGCCATTTAGTAATTTGTTTATTATTTGTTCGCTTGTATTAAAGGTAAAATGAATTAAAATAACGGCAACAGGAATAAACTAAGTAAACAAAACGTACATGATAATAAAATAGGTGAAAAAAACATAATTCCATTTAAGTTCATTAAGATATTAATAATTAATAGAAAAAAAACGTTCGTCTTCTGCTTCATGAAATGCACTCACTCACTCACACACCCACCCACCCAGACACATACGCACGCACTGGAATAACTAAGCGTGGATCTAACTGTGCTTCTACTTTTTGATGCCCTCTAGTTCAATATTATAAAACTGTAAACATATTATCAAGAAAATAATAAAGTCACTGGCCTCTTTTACAGGTGATACATTAATTAACGTAGTGTCAATATTAATTACTATAAATTTTTTATGCATTCAAATTAACTAAATACATCTGTGCTAGTCTTCACTATCAAATCGTTCACTTATTTACCACAATTAATTTTGCACATGTGTCTAGATCTGTGTAGGGGTTATACCTAATAAGAAGGAAATCAACACATAGAATTTGTGGTACAAAGCAAGGACTGAGCTGGAGTTCTTCATCACTCACCAATATAACTCTGATTATTAATTAATTTTGTTAATTGAACTATTTAAGACAGTCTTATACATGCACCTGGCTTAGATAGTGATTTTTCGCGGTGATGCAGGAAGACGCACACGCACACACACACACACACAAATAAACGCAAGCAATAAATTGTGCATATTCAATTAACCAAACACTGGTAACCAGCTTACTGACTGACTGACTGACTAGCCAACGAGAAAAATGATTAGTGTACACATACATGTACATAATTATGTAATAGAATAGTTAACTACTCGATGATTAAGTCACAGAAATTGTGTGCTTACGGGTAAAAGTTAATTTGTAAACTTCGAGATTTATACTTGCCAATCATTTTCTGTATTTTAAATACTACATCTATTTCTTTTTGTCTTCATATCACTTATAACGCCTTCTTTCACTGTCTGTGTACATCCATGGATTAATCCCAAACCAGCTTTCACTTACTTGACTCTGGCCTTCACTCAGTGGTTACTTAATTTTTATTTTGCAAATTGAATTGTTTTGTTTTATAAATTCACAATAAATATAAGCTGCATGCAGAAGAAGAACTTTTATGTTTAGAAAAGATACTTAACCCATAAGTAAACATAAATTTGGATTTATGAATATGTGTATTTCGATAAAGTGAAGATTTACCTGATAAAAAGAAACAACAAACAGTTCAGAGCAGTCTCTTCCATAATTCCAGTTCTCAGTTTATTCGATCAAGTGAATTATTTATTCCAATGAGCAAAGTGAAACAATATTTTAAATTTTATCCAAAATGCCTAAGGTTAACTATTATAATGATTATTTTATTCAGTTCCTGTTTTCACGAGGAAACAGTTAAAGTAAGTTAATTCTATTGAATGTATGAATGAATATTTCATTGTTTAAATTGTATGAAAGCTGTAGATGTCAGTAATGTTTATTAACTAGATAAAGTTGTACTTGCACAAACCAAGATGTATTAGGCACCACCAAAAGTCTCCTACACTTTACCTGCTTACTTGGCCTCAGTTTTAGGACAACACCTGGTGGATTATTATTATTATTGTATCCTTTAATTCCTAGAGGAACATAGGGCTTCAGCCACACATCTCCATTGCGTTCGGTTCTCTGCTAGAGTCTTCGCCTGGCTCCACATCTGCCCACATGCTTTCATCTCCTCTTCACATGACCTCTTCTAAGTCACCCTTGCACTGACGACCAACTCGCCGCTTCCCTTTCGGGTTCCACTCGAGCAATGGCTTGTCTAGTGATGTCACTTGATGGTTTCCTCAGAGTATAGCCAATCCATCTCCATTTCTTTCTGCCTATTTGTTTCACAATTGGTTCCTGGTCGGTTCGCTCCCAGAGATCTTTATTGCTGAACTTTCCTGGCCATCTGATCTTGAGTATTGAGCGAAGGCAGCTGTTTATGAAGGTCTGTAGTTTGTTTGAGATGCTCTTTATGACGCGCAGTGCAAGTCTCTGATCCGTATAGTGAGTAGCACTGACTTCACATTGGAGTTGAAAATCCGGATCTTATTTTTGATGCTGAGTGCTGTTGACCTCCACACAGAGTTGAGAGTAGTGAAAGCTTGTCTTGCTTTACCAATTCTTGCTTTGATATCCTCGTCAGTTCCGCCTGTAGTTGAAACGATGCTTCCCGGTCGGTAGGTAAAGGAGGTTGTTTCTTTCAGGTTCCTCCCATTTATGCTGATCATTGTCTGTTGTTGTTGTTGTTCTTGTCCAGGAATTTTGATTACCCCTGTTTTCTGTATGTTCACCTGAAGTCCTATATTTGATGCTTCTTCTGCCAACTTGTTGCTTTTCGCTTGCATATCTTCCAGTTTGTGGGAAATCAGACATATATCATCGGCGACTTGGTGTATTACTTTATATTAAAACTTAATAAAATAGGCTTTAGAGGTGCTCCTGATTTTCGTCTTTTTTTAACTGTACTATATAAATTCAAATTCTGCAGATCTGTATATCTGATTAAATGTATTTTGACTTTAAAACCTTATCATAGATACAGCGTCAACTGAATATCAAGGGAATATTTAGATATTTAGGCATTTCATCTTCATGAGCACCACTTTAAACATCCAGTGAGTAAATCTGCTCTTTATATCATGGGAACAACTAGATTTATTGTTCATACATCTTTCGCTACACTGATGAACACTAAGAATCTGTAATGTACCTGGAAAATGTATCGTGAAAGTTATACGCTTCTCAGGATAACATTTATTTTCATCTCTTTCAGTGTGGCTTTTATTTCTTTTCACAGAATGAACTTTGTCTTTAAATTATGTGGGATATTTTATTTGAGAGACGAAGGAGGATGGCTCTGATTGAAAAAGTATTGCTTATAATTTTTCATTTGACAAGTGGACGAAAACACAGAGATAATGATTGTTTAGGTGTAGCCTACTATCGCAAATGCCTTTGTACTAATTAGTGGGACCATGTTTAAACAGTAGCTGCTTTTTTGTCATAACTAGCATCTATCTGGAATTATTGTCAATATTAATGAAGTTTAGATATTCTTAGTCAAATTGTAAACAGTCATTCACTAATTACAACAAAGTATTTGGTATTAATGAGTAACATACTGAAATCTAACAATCACTTCTGAGCTGTTAACTCATTTTGTTTCTTCAGTATTGTCACTTAATATAAGAACAATGAAAGCTGTCATTTCAAAAACTCACTGACATGTGAACTTGAAATGAGACTGAAATTCTACAAAAATCCTTTGTGAAGTCATTCTGTAGGGAAGCTTATACACACCTTTTAGTCCTACCGTAAGTGAATCATTTGAAGGCGAAATAGATTTATTTATGCATTATTGTGGCTAAGTGTCTTGTTGAGACTGGATTTATTTACACTGAAAGTATGACCAAGGAGGAAAATAGGTATGTATCTAGGCGTAGGAGTTTATAAGTGTTATACGAAATTGGCATAAGTTCTATCAGTAGACAAGAGAAATTTGTCTGTTGATGCGTCAGGATGATTGCAGCTGTACTGCGGTTTTCCAGCTGAATATTTTTATTTCAAAAATTCCTTATTGCACGAGATGACTGTCTAAGTAAAATCGAAAAATGTGATGGATACCTGTAGCGCAGGTGAATGTTTTCGGTGTTGTTATGTCTTATAAATTGAACGAGTTAATTGTGATGAAGCTTTCACAGTCAAAGCCAGTTTCATCCGTAAGGATGGTTTCTCAATTCACTGAAATACTCTGAGGCTGATTTGTGAAGTTCGAGGTTAAGATGCAGTCTAGAAGGATAGTGAAAGCTTCGTAGTTAAACCACCTAGGTCAGAGAATACAACACAGAAAAAAGTTATAAGCATACATTATTTCTGAACCATTAACATAGCTAAGTGCTGAATTAGTATAGAATTGTAGTTCAGATTGGTGTTCATTCACTCTTGATTTTTAATCGTAGACATCATTATACTTATGTTGATGAACTGAGTGTATTTCTTTACATTAAAGAGAGGCAAGCTGTGTTTATGATAACTGAGATATTTTTAGGGTTGATTTTGTCATGAAGACGGTTACTAATTCTGAAAATTTGATGACAATTCAGTCATCTCATCAAAAATTAAACGTTTGAAAACAAAGCCCGTAACAATCTGATGCACACTTTAATTGGTAACGCTGTCACCTACTGACAATCAGAGGGTTATTTATATTGTATACTTCGGTGGTGTCAAATTAGGAAGGATTCAACATCCTCTGCTTCTTGTCCTTAAAATTATTGTTAGAAGACACTTGTGATTCAGTCATTAACTAAGTGAAAGGTACAAATAAACACTTTTATTGGTAAAACAGTAGATATTTTCAAGAGTCAGTTTGACCACGGACTGATACCAGTTAGCAGACCACTAAAAAACCCCAGTAAGAACTGGGTAGCTGTTTCTTCGCAGTTTGAGACTAATAGGAGGTACGCATCCACTGGGGTTCGAACCCAGTAACTGCTGGTTACAAGGCAAGCCCATAGACCATTCAGCCACTGGTTCTGGGTTCGAACTCCAATAAGTCCCTTACTAGAACGAAACAGCTGTCCAGTACTCCACTACTGATTTTTAATGGCTCTCTAACTGATACCAATCCATGGTCACACTTAATACAATAGATACTTTACCAAGAACCATTTTTTAAACACTTTTGTGTTTGGGTTCACAAAAGTTTGTGGAGACTGAAATTCAGTATAAAAATGAATTAACTTTTTGATCGACACTGAGCTTTATTGAGTGTTTTGTGCTAGGCAGTCATCAGAACTCTACCCATTTCGACTGCTAGAATTTATAAGCGAGCTGTATTGGCTTTCCAGACTTCATAAATACTGTAATGTTTGGTTGACCCTAAGATCAATATCCTGAAGAATGTACGATAATGTCGTTTAAGGTTGATTAGTCATTAAGATCCGTAGGTGTTATTCAGTGATATAAATAACAGCATATATGAAGTAATTGGTCGGTCAAGTGGAGGTTTAACCAGTGTTAGTATTAACATCTTTAAAAATACAAAAATAAAGTGTCTCAAAAACTGGTGTTATAAACAGAAGACACAGTTTTATACAATGAGATTGGTGATGTGACTTGATGACCATTGCAACTGACACAGAATGTTATTTTATGTCACTGTGCGTTTGTCTTAAACCAGATTAGAGAAAGAGTTACAGTATTGTAGTAAAAGAAAATAGACGTAAAACGTTAATCAAACTACCAATAAATTTATCCACACGGATGTCATCTAGAGTTTATAAACAGAACTGTACATTTTGAAGAAAGCAGATAGAAATAACATTAATCATTTTCGACTAAATTTCTGCTATCAGTTACAAACTATTTAAAAAAAATAAACTATGTAAATAAAATGAAAATCAAAAATTTAATCTTGTCAAAAAGTAAAACAAAAGTGGGATTCAAGGTAAATACAAAGCACCAAAAGGTTGATAATTATAATTAAAAAATGGAGACATTGAAAACACGACTGAATAAATAATGCTTTGCTGAATCAGATTCAACATATATGTATATACATATGCATGTGATTGATCGTTCATAAACTACCTTTCTGTTCTGTTCTGTCTAGTGGTGTTCATTTTATTATTTGTCTTCAGTAGTGTTATCCTTATGAAATACACAGCATGGCATATATGAGGGAAACTGTATTGATATGATGATATATTCCAATCCACTTGTTAACGCGAATAACAAACAACTAAGTCTGCAGTGAGGAAGTAGATACAGAGATTCGTCAATCGAAACCCTCTCCCATTAGTCTATTTGAAAACCTTTAGAAGTTAGTAAGAGGAATACGAAGAATCATAGTTCCACAAACAGTATTTAATAGCAGCAATTAAAAATTGAGTTTAAAAACTGTGTATAATGTTGTGGTTTATGTGGTTTTTGAGATTGGTGGATAGGACGACTACTAAATTTATCACTGTGGTTATTTTTAGTAGAAGTAATTCTGTGCAGAGAAATTCTTTGATTCATCAACTGAGATACAGGCTTATTGTAATTGCAAGACGAATAATTAATATAAAACTGTAGATGATTAGCGACTGATTTAAATCAATAAATTTTGGTCAAGTTACAAATGGTCCTCGTTTCTTGTCAAATAGTATTCAGTATGATTATGTGGCATTACTGAAGAAAGTTGCGTGGAAGAACATTGGAACTCCCCAAAGGTGATGTTCAAAGAGGCAAGAACCACTGTTTTAGGAAGAAAGAAGTGTCAAGACAAGGAATGGTTCCTAACGAAAACCTGGAAGATATATAGGGCACACACTGAGGAGACCGTCGAATACCGTCGCTCACCAGGCCATCGCTCGAGTAAAACTCG